CACACACACACACACTTGCATTTGTTATACTTCACAACACACTTACTAAATATTATTATTTTCAAAACACACTCAAAACATAACACACACACACACAGACATGCACACATACGCTTACACTTGTTATACTTCACAACACACACACACACTTACACTTGTTATACTTCACAATACATACACACACACTTGCACTTGTTATACTTCACAGCACACTTACTAAATATTATTATTTTCAAAACACACTCAAAACAAAACACGCGCGCGCGCGCTTTTACACTTGTTATACTTCACAACACACACACACACACTTACACTTGTTATACTTCATAACACACACACACACTCTTGCACTTGTTATACTTCACAACACACTTACTAAATATTATTATTTTCAAAACACACTCAAAACATAACACACACACTTACACTTGTTATACTTCACAACACATACACACCCACTTGCACTTGTTATACTTCACAACACACTTACTAAATATTATTATTTTCAAAACACACTCAAAACATAACACACACACACACTTACACTTGTTATACTTCACAACACACTTACTAAATATTATTATTTTCAAAACACACACACACACACACGAATAATGATTGGTATACTTCACAACACACTTACTAAATTTTATTATTTTCAAAGCACACACACGCACACACAAATAATGATTGATATACTTCACAACATACTTACTAAATATTAATATTTTTAAATTTGAACTAAAGGTGAGAAAACTAAAAGTAGCAAATTTTAATGACTGAATTAATAAGTGTCAAGTGTTTGCAAGTCATATTTCTAAATTTTTTTAGGATATATTTAAAAACTTATCTTCTAATTAGTATTTTTAAAAACTAACTGTTAGATTAAAAGTTTTATTCATTTAAATCATGTATATTAATTTTTAAATTATTTTAATAGACCTAACTATTTTGTTGATTATAAAAAATTAGACACTGTTAAATATATGTTAATAAATAGACTTTCCTCGATTAATTCAATTCAATTGTCAATTTTTTAAAATATTAATTACAAGGTAATTTTTAGACAAATCTTCCAAAAAAAAATTTAAAAAGACAACTTGCTCTACCCTATCCTATATATATATATATTGTATAATTACTGTTGCTACAACTTTGGAAGTTGGTAATGACCAAATTTGAAGATTTAAATAAATTCATAAATGGGGAAAAAAAATCTAAATATATGTTTTTCCAAATGAGATATCTCCGAGAAAATACCTTGTTTTGCATTTTTTGCTTCCTTTCCGAGGCTAATGTTAGATAAAGGCCTTTTAAAGATGGAGATTTGGTATAAATAAGGATATAATTTTTCAAATATTTTAATTAAAGATATAATATTTTTTTCTTTACTAATAAGGACTATAATTTTTCAAAAGCTTTTAATTAAAGATATAACTTTTGTGACTAAGTTAATTAAGTCTACCACCTTTCAAAAGTTTTTGACCGATAATATGACCTTATACATCCATTTAATCCTTTTTTAAAAAAATAAAAAAGTCATATCCTTAATTAAAATTTTTTTTAAAAGCTATATTCTTATTTGTACTAAATCTAGGCCAAAAAATAAAAAATAAAAAAAGAAAGCTTTGGTTTGTCCAAGATGCTTACCAACGGTACTTCCATTTTAAATTTCATGCCAGCTTTGGGTTTAACCTTTCTACCATAGAAAGGTAGTTCTTTGCAATAGAAGGGGAGCAGTAAGCAAAGTATCTCCTGTTTCCAACTCAAGCTCCAAGTGTTGGCCCATGATCTTAAGGATTAAACTCAAAGACTCAATGTTCTTTTGAATACTCATTGAAATAATTAAAGTAGAGTTAACTCTCAACTTATGACCAATAAAATTGTAATGTGCTATTGTTTAACCATGGGAAAGATAAGAACTTTTATTTGGATGGTCAAGGTATTTTTAGGTCAATTTTTGTATACCATAAGACTAATTTTTTCTTAACTAATTTTAAGAGTAGACCCCACACTAGCATCATGCAATCAAAATATTAATTTTTTTAGGCATTGATCCCATAACTTAAATCCCAAACTTAATCCACAAGATGACCGTTGATTATTGGAAAATCTACCCTTAAAGTTATGAGAAAGAAAAGAGAACAGTCGCTACTTGCTTACTTTCATTCCTTAGCTATACCTTAAATTTAAAGATGAATAATATTTTGTACAACCTTTAAATGTGAACTACAACCGTACTTTTAACAATAATATTCATAATTAAACATATTAAAGAATGATTAATTAATATATGAGTATTATATCAAATATATATATATATGATAGTAACAACGATGATATTGACATAATTAATAGCTAATGCCAATTTAAGATAAGTAAATGACCCGCAAGGAGTGAGGTGCCGGGTAGGGGGGGGGGGGGGGGGGGGGCCAATTGTAAAATATAAATGCAGTGTAAGTCAAAAAGAGTTGAGGTTGAACCAAGACTTCTTGGGCTTGTCGAAGATTCCCGGCCCATAAGTTGAAAGGAAAATCTCCACAAGGAGAGGGAACTGTAGAAGGGCAAAGAGTGTCACCGGAAGACTTCCGAGCAAGATAATTGGAAACGAAACCCATGGGATCCGTTCTTGGAGCACTATGACCAAACTGATTCCGAAGGTTATCATCATGGTGACTATGGAGAAGAAAAGCGTGGAGAGTCCGATCATTAGTTTGGTCGGCAAGGTCTTTAGAAAATCTTCTTCTCTGTAACGCGATGTCAAGATTCCCAAGAACATCAGCAGCGAAGTAGTGGAAGAAAACAATGACACTGCATCGGAAATCATGAAAATCAGGAAGGAATTGTAGCGCAGGTAGTGAGGATCGCCGTCATTGTCGTAGCCGCCCGGCGCAGTGAAGGCTGCTGCGAACATGATGGTGGCGATCAAAGCGGCAACAACAGTGAAAGATTGCGCGGTTCCCTTGGTCCATTTCTCCCCTTCATCCACTAATCGGTGGTGCTGATCAGTGAACAGAGCTCTTGGTGTTTTCCGGTGATTGTTCTGCATTTCCCTAAACTTAGGTTGTACAATTCTTTCAACCTCCTGCAATATTTAAATATCATAATAAAAATATAAATTAGTTTCGTTTTCATTTCAATGATCCATCAATTTTGAAAGTCTTAGAAAAATGATGAATTTCCCTTTCAAATAATGTCTTTTTTTTTTACTTTGTTCATCCATGACTTACCATATATGACTTAGGTAAGGTTTGTGATTGTTTTTAAAGTATCTTTTTGTGCTCTTAGTTACTTTTCGTCGATTTCACAATTTTGCAGTCTGGGGAATACATAACTGGAACCATTGAATGAAGGTTTACCCCACCTTTAAGGAGCCAGTCTTTTTTATTGTGCAATTGGCCATAGGCCGAACCTCACATCACATTTCTATTTTTGCTTTAGGGAAGTTTGTAAGGATAGTTAATAGTTTGGTAGAATTGTTCCAAGGATTGGTATAAACAAAGAGAAAACTTATTTGGATCAAACTAATCAAGTACCTTAAACCATTGTAACTCCCTTTGCATCTGAAGTGCTGCACCTGAAACTCGATCCAACTGAGAAGATGGAGCTAAGAACGCAGCTTGATGCAATATGTTGTTGGAGTCCTTGTCCCAAGGAGTTGCTAGAGCATTTTGCTTTGCACCAGTTCTGTATATGAGGCTGAAGATCTTTTCCTGGCGTGCTTTAGCTGCTACGAAAAATATGTTCCTGTCTTTTTCATCATAGAACCATAACATAGCAGGATAATTCCTCATCATCTCTATTATAAACTCCACTATCCCCTGTCTAACAGCCTCAAATATTGCTTTATCTAGTTGAAGCATGTTAATTTGTGAGTCTCCTAGAGTCGATATCTCCCGACAAATAAAGCTTAGCAATTCTTGAGCTTGTTTATGTGCCAACTTCAACTCGTATATTCGTGTAAATCCTGGAACTGGAAGCAGAGAGATTGAGTGTTATGATGGAATTAACCAAGTATGCTGTAATAATAGGGAGTAGCTAGACTACACGCTTTAGTTCATACCAAGAAGTTTTAAGCCTTTCCAGAGCATAGCACGCAAATGGTGAAACACTACATCAAAGTTCATGTTTAGAAAAAAAGATTAGACTTCTTTAAAAGGTGTGAAGAACTCATCAGATGTAGAAAAAGGAAGAAAAATGAAAAAACTTAAATGTCTGATGAGAATTCTATGATTCTATCAAACCTCCTATTGCTACCATATTTCTTCGATTAGCTTGGCCTTCGTATGGTGTTTCTATGTCTCCAGCTTGGTTATTTCGATGTACATGTATACCTGGTAGAAGAAACATATCTTTTTATGTTTACAAACAATTTGATAGTTTAGAAATATAATTGTACTGAACATGAATATCTATTAGATACTTCCATGTAATATACTAACATAGAGCATTCCATTGTAGAAGAAGTACTTACAATTATACACCCACTGTTGCCAAAGAGCAAGCTGAGCTCCACTTGGAAATGATGAAGGCTTTTTAGCCAAAAGATGCAGGGCTGTATCTCTCTCTGGGTCTTCAGCCAAAGCTAATTGAGGGTAACAGTGAACCAGATCCAAAGCAATATCTTCATGACACATAAGAATAGGTAAATAAGCCAATTTTGTAATTAGTAGAAAATTGCTAGTTAACCTTCTCATACCGTAGAATTCATCAATAATGCAGGTCGTTAGAAGCATAGCTCCTTGATTTCTAGTAGGACTGAACTCTTCAATCGGAGTCTCAGTATAGAGATACTGTACCAAATCTCTGTGGCCATATAAAGCAGCTACAATAACGGGGATGTGGGCATTTTCATTAGGAATGCAAAGCAATTTTCTGTTTTTTTCTACCAAGTATCTAGCAATCTCTGTTACACCTCCAGTGGCAGCATAAATAAGGGCAGTGGAACGGTCTTTCTTTTGAATTGCCAAGTCTTGAGAAGTCATCCGCTTCACTAACTCCTCGACTATCCTTACATGGCCTGCAAGAACTGCAATATGAAGTGCTGTGTCTCCATCTTTTGTAAGACTAGCAGTCAGTGCATCAGGGTTTTCGTCAAGAAAACTCAAGGTAGCTTCAAGCTCTCCATTGTCTACAGCCTTGTATAACGGTAGGTTACGAATGTATGCATCATTTGAATCTACTGTGAGTCCCAAAAAAAAAAAAAAAAAAAAATCGAGTTAGAATAGCATATGCATACATGGATCAAAAACTTAGTCAACAACGTTGTTATTCATGGTTCGTGAATCCCATTTCAGTTTTTATAGCGCCAACTGTTACCTGGAGAAAATGCTCCAAAGAACAAAAATTCAATAGAAGATGGAGATATAGATTTACCATTATCTTGTAACCAGCTTCCTTCTGATCTTGGAGGCATTCCTTGTGCCTGACCACTGGATGTTGCTTCTCCAGGTCTCATTTTCTAATGTGATGCAGCTTGTTTAACAATGAGATGTCAGAACAAATGATTCAAAAGGCGAAACCCGTTATATATAAGAAATAAAGGCCTTAATTACACAAATATTATGAGAAATTTGATCAAATTTACTAATATTTACCTCTTGTGGAATAAATGGTAATGTAATTTCTTTTGACATCAGAGGAGGTAAACAAAAGCAAAGAACCACAAAAAGAATAGCGTGCCATTTTGGCAATAATTTTGAAAAGATTTTTGTGCATATTCTTTTCTTGTTTCATTCTTCCTCTGTTTCATTATGTCAAAAAACTTGAATTTCAATCAAACATAAAGCATAAGTGAAATGAGTACTGAAGCAATCATCTAGCTCCTACATCTTGCTCTTTATTCATTCTTTGAATTTCAATCAAACATGTGGTATAAATGAGTATTGAGCAAGTGATTATTTATTCTTTATGTTTAATCTTTGAGCACCAAAAGCTTCAGCTCATCTTATCTTAATATTAACTTCATATAAAATTACTGTGCTAACAAAATTCCCCCTAATAATCTCAAATAAATACTCAATGGACATTCATTAAATTCATCAATACATACCCCAATATGCTTCAATTAAGTAGTCTAATTATTAATTATTGGTAGTTACATATAAAATTATTGTAATAACAAAATTTCTTTTCAAAATCTTAAATAAATACCCATTAAACTTTGATTAAGCAGTCTAATTATAAATGCAATTTGCTTAACACTGATGTTAGAACAAGAGATTATAAAGGCAAAATACGCTATACTTATATGAAGAAATTATGCGTTAATTACACAAATATTATGAGAAATTTGATCAAATTTATAGTTATTTTCCTCTTGTCAAATAAATAATAATGTAATTTCTATGACATCAAAAGAGGTAAACAAAAGAAGAATAAAATGAAGACTATTGGATGAAGCGTGACATGTTGGCAACCATCTTAAAAAGATTTGTGCACTTATTCTTTTCTTGTTTCTTTCTTCCTCTGTCTTTTATTATGTCACAGAATCTGAATTTCAATCAAGTATAAAGCATAGACACGTACTAAAGCAAGCATCTGACTCTTGCATCCTACTTTATTCATTCTTTGAATTTCAAACAAACATAAAACATAGTTGAGTACTGAGGAAGTGACTATTCTTCTCTATGTTCAATCTTTGAGCACCAAAGCTTCCGACTCAACTTTTCTTTATCTTAATCTTAATTTTAATCTTAACTCTATATAAAAATATTGTAATAAAAAAATTATTGCTTATAATTTCAATAAATATCCAATGAAACTTTCATTAAATTCATCAATAAATCACCAATGGGCTTCAATTAAGTAGCCTAATTATTAATAATTATTAACTATATAAATTTGTTGTAATAACAAAAAAATTCTCTTAAAAATCTCAAAAAATTACCAATAGCCTTTCGTTAAAATTATTACAATAAATACTTAATGAACTATAATTAAGTTGTTTAATTATAAATGCAACTTAGTTAAGAGTGCATTTGAGATTGTTGTAAAATGCTGTGACTATAACTGTGCTATGACTGTAATTGTACTAAATTGTACCATATTGTAACTGTAATTGAAAGTTATTTTTGTGTTTAATTATTTATTTTTTAAAAATATTATGGATAAAATATGATAGATTTTATTAATTATTAATTAAAATTTAAAAAATATTATAAGATATATCATTATTATTAAAATAGATAATATTTATTACTTTTTAATA